GGCACGGCACAGCGATGCGGCCCCCAGCACCAGGGCATCTCACGGGGCGGAGAGGGGGAGACCTTCGGCCAGTCGTCCTCCCTGCCGGATGCCTGCGGGGCCACGTGCCCCACAGGCCCTTTCACATTATTGAGCAATTTTCTGTACTAGGTTTAAGGGAGTGACATTTAAGGTAGGAACATTAGATAATTTACAAGTATGAGATACAGTAAATATTACAATAGATTTACAAAGTTTGTTACAAGATTTATAAGGAAAGACATTTAAAAGACCTCGTGGATTTATTTGCTTGTTTTTTTTTTGATTGTTTGTTTTTAAATATATTTTATTGATTTCAAAGAGGAAGGGAGAGGGAGAGAGAGGTAGAAACATCAATGATGAGAGAGGATCATTGATCGGCTGCCTCCTGCATGTCCCCCACTGGAGATCAAGCCTGCAACCCAGGCAATCAAACCTTGACTTCCTGGTTTATAGGTTGATGCTCAACCACTGACCCATGACAGCTGGGTAACCTTGTGGATTTAGAAAAGGATTCTCTGTGTGGAGGAAGGTGCTACCTCAATTAGGTGATAGAATTGAGGTGATGGGGCTCTCCATCCAAGGAAGAGAGCAAAGATAGAGTGTGGTTGTTTTGTAGTATGGCGGTTTAGTTAAACAGGAACCCCATTTTCTAGAACCACACCCCCTGTGTGGATAGGGTTGGACACAGGAGAGTCCAGTGAGATTTGCAAGGTACAAATGAAGCAGTAGCCTACAGAAGATGTGTGCAAACCCCATGCACCGCCAGAAATGGCCACAGTTTGGCTGATCCACTGGCTTCTCTCATTGGTGTGCTGAAAGACCCACAGGTCCTCTACCTACTACAGTGGGGCCTTGACTTATGAGTTTAATTCGTTCCGTGACGGAGCTCGTAACTCAAATTACTCATATGTCAAATCAAAAAGTGAACGAGTGAGACACGTGATGCTGGGCAGATGTTGTGGCGTTCACTGTGACGTTCGCTGCGCCAACTAGCGGTGGGGTATCTGAAGCTGGCTCGTAACCCGAATTTTAGCTCGCAACTCAAAGCAAAAAATCGGCCGAGAGATGGCTCGTATCTCGAAAAACTCGTTAGTCTGGACACTCTTAAGTCAAGGCCCCACTGTATTTGATCTCTCCCTGCAGTTTCTTCAAGACCCAGGCTAGACACACCTGCAACTCTGGCGTCGAGGGCACTTGCTTCTTCTGCATATTACTTGTATCATTAGAATTAGAGACAGGCTCTCATTTGTCCTTGAAGATACCATCTTACTCTGAAGGTTTCTAGTTTGTCTTTGATTTTTTTTCTTTCGGTTTCACTTAGAGCTTTTCTCCTGGCTGTCTAACTACTGACCAAGGAAATTTGAGACCCACCATAAGGAACATAATCTATTTATGTTTCTCACCAGATTTCCTTCCTGGATCCTGGTTAGTGACTTTTCTCTAATGTCCCAACTATCTCCCTGTAGAGTGTTATTTCACCAACTTTCCCCACAGCTGTGTAGAGCCTAACTCTAAGAAAAATGCTTTATGTCATGTCATTCGTGGTTGTTCTGTTTCCCCAATTGAATCCTAACCAATGCTTACAGTAAGGAATTTTTTAAAAATAGCCTTATCTGACAACTATTAATAGATTGTAGGGTGGAAGAAAGGATGAATGTGGGTTGTGGAAGAGTCGGAAGCCACAAAAGGAGCCTATTAGGATCTATTTTAGAGTAGGATGCATGTCTAGTTTTCTATTTTCTAAAAATCTCACATGCTGCTTGTGAAAATGGATTGGAATAGCCATTACTAAAGTAGAAAAAAAAAACAAGTAGATCAGACTATTATATATTTAAGAAGATAATCCTAAAAAATCTCTACACAGATAGTGGAAGATAGACAGAAAGCAAGGAATCAGAAATAAGTACAAATGAAACTTAATAAATGTTGGAAAGGCTATTTGTGCTTCTTCCTGTCATCACTAAGTTTTCCAAATCTAGGTCCTTAGCTCTGTTTATCAAACTGCCTGTAAATCATAAGGCTTTAAGCATTTGTGGTAGAATAAAATAGCATAGAATAGAAAATTCAGAGTGCATTCTAAAGTGAATGTAAGTGCTGATTATAAAATGAGTAAAAATGTGTATGAACACTGAAACTGTTTCTTAAAGTGTTGGTCAAGAACATTTGAAATACTCTAAATATGGGCACCCAAATATGGAGACCTCCTCATGAGGAAGCCCTGACTTTTTAAAGTGGGCATTTGAGAAGGTGGGTATCAATAAAATATCAAAAAATAGAGAAAAAAGCTTTAGAAAAATAAATATTGCTGCATTTAAATTCAAATGAAGACAGAGGACTACTATTGTTAGTTTTCTAGTTAAGAATTATTTAAAATGTTGTCTACATTTGGACATTTGTTAACCATGTCAGTTTTCCTTATATTAAATATATAATTAAAAACCTTTAACAATTAAAAGGGTAATATGCTTGCTTTCAAGTCAATATATATTCCCAAAGTCTTCCAAATTTTTTATTATTATATTTTTTGCTTTTGGGTGTATGAATTACATAATTAATAAAGTCAGAATTTATCTATATTCTCATGAGAATTTTTATTTCCTTCCCTTTGCTGAGTTGAAAAACAGCCATTTTCAATATAGCTAATGGTTGCTACAGTATCTTCACAAATTATTACAGTACTATAATATACGCTGAAATAACAATTAATCAAAAAATAATTTAAATAACGAACTACTCAGGTAAATATCCCTGCAGTAATCAAGGTCAATTTAGAATCTTTAATAACAAATACATATGAATCTATCCATAATGACAGATAATATTTTTAATAGGAAGTAGTGTTTGTGTTGAACACCTTCCATTTACCCTTCCTGATATGCTTTCAACCTTCTTTTCTACCGTGCTCTGAGGTAGATGAAGGTTATGAGTACAGTGAATTAACAAGGCTCCCTTGTTTTCTGGCTTCCAGTTGGGTTTTATCAGTGGATGCATTGACAGGAAATGTGATGGTGGGAGGAAAGTAAGATATAGTAGGTGTTCTAAAACTCTCTGCCTGCTGAGTTGGCTTCATTCATCCACCAAAAGCAACAACTTCTGTAGAGGAGGTTTCTCCAAGAAAGGGCTGGGGTGACTACCCTGAATGCCAGCGGGAAAAGAGGAATGGGGCATGCAAGGTAAAGATGCCTGCTGTTGTTGGTGTGGTAGATAGGGGTACAGTCAACATCAACAGATTACATCCTAAGAATGTAATAACTGTGGCCTAAAGAGTTCAAGAGAAAACAAAGGTGAACAATGTATTGCTGTTCTATGTTTACAGTATTACATTCCAAATACACCTACTAAATTTCACATGGCCAGAAAATGAGTTATTTACTTTTTTCTGCATAATAGAGGTATGGTTTGGACCTGAGAGAATCATTAGATGCCACTATTTATGGGTGTCATCATGGATGATGGATAATGAAGTATCATGAGAAAGGGTGTAATCAGCATTAAATAAATGGCATTGGAAATTACAGAAGCAAGAAGACCCAATTGTTTCACTATAAATAGTTTCTGACAGGAGACAGCATTGTGAGTTATAACAGCACTGCTGTTTTTTCTCATGGCTGGAGATATGAAATTATCCAGGAGTGCTTCATTTGAAAATAAAATAAAAACATGAAGACATAGTCCCTGTCCATGAGCAGGAAATGATGGTGGCTGAATAATATGAAGACTTTTTATGTGTATTAATTAGATAGTAAACAAGTACATAAGTACATCTTTACTAACCATTATTCTAAATCTTCATGGACATGGGCCATGATGTTGTAAAATATTTTAAAGTCCAATTATTTATACAGAAAGAGCTTCACAAAAATATTTTCTTGTAGTCTGCATATCCCATGGGAGATCTGGGTCAGAACAGGGGTGAAACCGACCACTGCAACAAGGAAAAGCAGAAGCAGAAATAGGGGATTCAGGGCCCATCCTGCTCCAATCCCTCCTCTATTCCTTCTGCCCTTCCTCCTGGGGGATCACTAGGTACTCACTAAGCACTGTTGAAAAACCACTCATCTTTCAGCAACAACGTTATTTCTAATCTAGGTAAAGGAATGGTTCAGGTTAGGATATTCCCTTCTTTTAATTAAAGTAAAAGTACAATTGTTATATAAAATACAATTGCCTATTAGCAATTTGGAAAACACAATTTCATACTAATTTTTTTAAAAAAAATCAAACACCATAAAAAAATGATAGTACTGGGTGATTTGGAAGACATAAACTATTTTTCATTATTTTAATGAATTTATAATGTCAATAATTACATACATTTTATTAAACTATTATAGGTTTACTAGTTAGTTTTAATGATTTTGTTTTATTTTTATTCTAAAGCTAGCATATGATCTTTGAAAGTTATAAAAATATCAAAAATAGAATAAAAATGTCACCTCAGTATTGCCTACCAACTGTTATTACAAATAATTGATTATTGCATTTTATTTGTCACTTTATTCCATGCCTTATCAGGATGTCTTTTAAAAACTTTTAAATAGGAATAAAATAGCAAATTAAGTGCACCAAACGATGCAATTGGATTTTATTTAATAGCATAGTATATGATATATTTCTGCTATCACATAAATCACAGTCAATAAATGTTCAAACTTTCAAAGAAATTATCATTGGATTTCTAAATATTCAGGCAAAGATTATCTTAATTTAAATATTTCTAATTTCTATGTAAATATATTTTGGCAAAAAAGTATTTTTTATTTATTTGAAAAATTGCATGGATATGAAATCAAGCTGTAGTCATATTTTCTTACAATTTAAACAAATAAGCCAAATTTAACTCCAAATTTTATATTATACACCTCAGTGCAAAGATGTGAAAATCATAAAAATTAAAAAAATATTTTTATAACCTGCCGAATTGTTAGTTATTTATTCAACTGAAATTGCCAGGATAGTCTCATATATATAAATGAGTTAGCAAAACTAATACTAATTTATGAAGGCACTCCAAAGTAGTTCATAATTTTTAGATATATTTTGTTCACTATTTATACATTATCCATTATGA